TTAAAAGAAATTCAAGCTTATTTTGGTAATATAGGAAGAATATCAATAGGAAAAAAAAACTGTGTGTACTATGTATCTTCTATCGAAGATTTAACTGTTGTAATTATTCCTCACTTAATCAAATATCCTTTAATTACACAAAAGCTTGGAGATTTTCTTCTTTTTAAATCCGCTGTAGGTATTATTAATTCTAAGGAACATTTAACAATGAAAGGAATACAGAAAATTGTATCTCTTAAAGCTTCTCTTAATCTCGGTTTAACCGATGAACTAAAGATTGCTTTCCCTAATATTGTACCATCCTTAAGACATTTAGCTAAAAGTACGAAAATTCTTACGAAAGCTAAGTCTTCAGGTAGCTCCGAATTGATGAACGTCGGACAGTGGATGGCAGGATTTGTATCAGGAGACGGTTGTTTTGCGATTACTGAAAACAAATCTTCTTCTAAAATTTATGTAAGATTAGTATTTAGTATAACTCAACATAGTAGAGATGAATCACTAATTAGATTTATGGTTGATTTCTTTGGTTGTGGTGTATATCGTACATCTTCTGCAAACCGTACTACGGTAAATTTTGAATGTTTGAGTTTTTCAGATAATTATGAAAAGATCATACCGTTTTTCCGTGAATACAATATAAGAGGTGAAAAATCGAAAGATTTCGAAGATTGATGTAAAGTAGCTGAAATCATAAAAGCTAAAGATCATTTAACTAAAGAAGGATTTGACATTATTTGTCAAATCAAATCTGGTATGAATAAAGGGAGATAAGTCTACATTTTAGACATGATTCTACACTCCTTTATTCTAGAAAAACGGATTCCTAATTTTTTACGAATTGATACAGAAAAAAATAAGCCTCCCTTCTCAAAATTTAAGCGAGTCGGTGGAGGTATTATTTTTATATTTAATAAAAAAAAAGGAGATAAAAAAAAGTATAATTACACCCTCTTGGTACTTGTACTGTGCTTTTTAAACGTTTACATTAGAAAAGTAAAAGTTTAATTTAATTATGAACTCGTACTAAACTGCCAAATTCCGGGGAAGCCCTAAAGACAATAATACCACCTTATATATAGTGAAAAGTCTAATAATAAGTACCATTACTAATCATAATGGGTGAGGTAATAAGTTATTGTATTAAGGAAACTTAAATGGGTAATCGCGGAACTAACCTATATTAATATTTAATATGGAAAAGCGCATCGAGTAGATGGTAGTTGTTATAGAAAAAGGAGAGATCTTAAATATATCGACTCTCACTTTTACTCTATAATTAAGGTGTACTCAGTCTTCCTTAGAAATAAGGAAATAACTTTACATCCTGGCTAAGTCGGACTTATATGATTTATGTGCTTATACATATTTATGTAATAACTATAAAAGTTAAACATGCCTAAATCATTCGATAAGCTAAAGTAAAGATAGACACGGTTATAATAGGAACAGCCTTCTTAGCTGTAGGTTTATGACGTGTTTTAGCATATCATCAAACAGACAATCACCACCTAGGTTTGGAAGCGGGAATTTTGTACTGACACTTCGTTGACGTAGTATGACTTTTCCTTTTTATCTCAATATACTACTGGGGTTCTTAAGCTCTAGTAAAGATTATTTTAGATTACCTCCTTCTAATAGATATACTTTAAGGAGTGGTTTATGACTACCTTTTAATATTCCTCGATTGTTTACCGGTAGTGTACTTCTTGCTCTTATGCGTTCTTTATTAAGTTTATTTCTTACTCATGCTAAGCGTTATTTATTAAATATATTTTTTTTCTCATGCTATGCCTTATTTATTAAATCTCTTAAAATATCTTCTTTTTAATATATCGCTTTATCTTTTATCTATTTTTAAATCTAAACCTCTATCTTTTATCTTA